TACCATTTGCCCATCCTTCAGGGTTGTATTTAACACTGGGCAGTATTTCTGTGTTTGAATGTGAGCATGTTTTGTATGGAGCATGTGTGTGTGAATGTAGTTGTGTGCTTTTATGTCCTGTTGCCATTTGAAATTAGTGGTGAACTTGTGTGCAGTGTTTGCTTTTCAATGTAAAGATGTGTTTATAGGTAGTGTTGGCATTTGAATCCAGGCATGCATTTCTGTGCATTGTTGGTTTTTAAATGCAGGTGCGTGTTTAAATACAATGCTGGTGTTTTAAAATAGAGGTGTGTTTCTAGCACAATTGTGCTAGAAACTGCTTAAAAGGCTACAATAGATAAGAAAAAGGTTATACAAGGCAGAAGAGAACCCAGTAAACATTATTGTTCATCAACTTTCAGGAAGAGAATGTAGCCCAGGAATGGTGTGGCATCAAACATACATTTCTCAATTTTAGCATAAGTTCAAGTTCTTGTAGGCATTTTACAGGGAGTGCAGAATTATTAGGCAAGTTGTATTTTTGAGGATTAATTTTATTATTGAACAACAACCATGTTCTCAATGAACCCAAAAAACTCATTAATATCAAAGCTGAATATTTTTGGAAGTAGTTTTTAGTTTGTTTTAGTTATAGCTATGTTAGGGGGATATCTGTGTGTGCAGGTGACTATTACTGTGCATAATTATTAGGCAACTTAACAAAAAACAAATATATACCCATTTCAATTATTTATTATTACCAGTGAAACCAATATAACATCTCAACATTCACAAATATACATTTCTGACATTCAAAAACAAAACAAAAACAAATCAGTGACCAATATAGCCACCTTTCTTTGCAAGGACACTCAAAAGCCTGCCATCCATGGATTCTGTCAGTGTTTTGATCTGTTCACCATCAACATTGCGTGCAGCAGCAACCACAGCCTCCCAGACACTGTTCAGAGAGGTGTACTGTTTTCCCTCCTTGTAAATCTCACATTTGATGATGGACCACAGGTTCTCAATGGGGTTCAGATCAGGTGAACAAGGAGGCCATGTCATTAGATTTTCTTCTTTTATACCCTTTCTTGCCAGCCACGCTGTGGAGTACTTGGACGCGTGTGATGGAGCATTGTCCTGCATGAAAATCATGTTTTTCTTGAAGGATGCAGACTTCTTCCTGTACCACTGCTTGAAGAAGGTGTCTTCCAGGAACTGGCAGTAGGACTGGGAGTTGAGCTTGACTCCATCCTCAACCCGAAAAGGCCCCACAAGCTCATCTTTGATGATACCAGCCCAAACCAGTACTCCACCTCCACCTTGCTGGCGTCTGAGTCGGACTGGAGCTCTCTGCCCTTTACCAATCCAGCCACGGGCCCATCCATCTGGCCCATCAAGACTCACTCTCATTTCATCAGTCCATAAAACCTTAGAAAAATCAGTCTTGAGATATTTCTTGGCCCAGTCTTGACGTTTCAGCTTGTGTGTCTTGTTCAGTGGTGGTCGTCTTTCAGCCTTTCTTACCTTGGCCATGTCTCTGAGTATTGCACACCTTGTGCTTTTGGGCACTCCAGTGATGTTGCAGCTCTGAAATATGGCCAAACTGGTGGCAAGTGGCATCGTGGCAGCTGCACGCTTGACTTTTCTCAGTTCATGGGCAGTTATTTTGCGCCTTGGTTTTTCCACACGCTTCTTGCGACCCTGTTGACTATTTTGAATGAAACGCTTGATTGTTCGATGATCACGCTTCAGAAGCTTTGCAATTTTAAGAGTGCTGCATCCCTCTGCAAGATATCTCACTATTTTTGACTTTTCTGAGCCTGTCAAGTCCTTCTTTTGACCCATTTTGCCAAAGGAAAGGAAGTTGCCTAATAATTATGCACACCTGATATAGGGTGTTGATGTCATTAGACCACACCCCTTCTCATTACAGAGATGCACATCACCTAATATGCTTAATTGGTAGTAGGCTTTCGAGCCTATACAGCTTGGAGTAAGACAACATGCATAAAGAGGATGATGTGGTCAAAATACTCATTTGCCTAATAATTCTGCACTCCCTGTAGTACAGTACGCACGTGGTATGTTGGGCTGGTGAGGGTGAGAAGATGAAGATGTCATCGAGGTAGATTGTGCTGAAGGTACAGGGCCGGTGCAAGGATTTTTGCCGCCCTAGGCAAAAAAAATTTTTGGCACCCCATTATGCTCCACAGTGGTCCTGTAGGTTTAACCCCACAAGATAAAACATTGTCATATCTTGAAGGGTTAAACGAGACTCTAGTAGCTGTCACAGTGACAGCCACTAGAGACACCTTCACTACAATGCCATGTTTACATCATAGGTGTGTGCAGCCTATTTCATTAGGGTGTGCACCATAAAGCACAAACACACGCCGCATGTGTGTGTGTGTGTGTGTGTATATATATATACACACACACACATCTATATATATATATATATATATATATATACACACACACACACATATATATATACATATACACATACACACACTGCTGTTTGTGTGTGTGTGTGCTGTTAGTGCGCTGTGTGAGGGTGCTGTGTGTGTGTGTGTGAGGGTACTGTTAGTGTGAGGGTGCTGGTAGTGTGCTATGTGGGTGAGGGTGCTGTTAGTGTGCTGTGTGTGAGGGTGTGGTTTGTGTGTGAGGATGCTGGTAGTGTGCTGTGTGTGAGGGTGTTTGTGTATGTGTGTTAGGGTCCTGTTAGTGTGCTGTGTGAGGGTGCTGTGTGTGAGTGAGGGTGCTGTGTGTAAGGGTGCTGTTTGTGTTGTGTATTTGTGAGGGTTCTATTAGTGTGCTGTGTGTGAGGGTGTTGTGTGTTTGTAAGGGTGCTGTGTGTTTGTAAGGGTGCTGTGTGTTTGTGAGGGTGCTGTTAGTGTACTGTGTGTGTGAGGATGCTTTGTGTGTGAGGGTGCTGTGTGTGTGTGAGTGCTGTGTGTGTGTGGGTGCTGTTTGTGTGCTGTGTGTGTGAGGGTGCTGTGTGTGCGCACTGTTTGTGTTAGGGTGCTGTATGTGTAGAGGTGCTGTGTGTGTGTGAATGCTGTATGTTTGGAGGAATTGTGAAGGTGGGGGCAGATTAGTAAATATCCCCCCTCCCTTCTTACCTTATGTAGGGAGGGGGGATCCTTGCTGCCATGTGCCATCCCTGGTGGTCCAGTGGAGAGTGAACTCTAGCCTGTGGGGCTAGAGTTCACTCTCGCGAGATCTGAGCGTTGCCGCGGCAAAGCTCAGATCTCGCGAGAGGAACCTGGCGAAGCTCTAGAAGCTGTCTAGAGATCCCTGGGTCCTCTCCTGCCTGCCTCCATGCTGCTGTGGGCTGGTGAGGTAGATCTTTGATCTCCCCGCCGGCCCATGGAGGCTTAGAGCAGAGCCGGCACTCAGATAGCGCCGGCTCTGCATGAGCTGACAGGGGAGATCAGGAGATCTCCCCTGCCGGCAGAGGTCAAGTCCTGGGGAATAAAGTGTGGGAACTCTCCCAGGATTCTCACCCCCCCAAAAAAATAATATACACTTGTGTATATATATATATATATATATATACATACACGTGCACACACACACTGACACACATACACTCACAGACACACACATACTCAGACACACATACAGACACACACACATAAATTCACAGACACACATACACACACACACTTACAGACACACACACATACACTCACAGACACACATACATACACTCATAGACACACACACTTAGAGACACACACATACATTCACAGACACACACATACAGAAACACACATACATTCACAGACACACATACACACACACACTTACAGACACACACTTAGAGACACACACATACACTCACAGACACACACACACTTACAGACAAACACATACACTCACACACACACTTACAGACACACACATACATTCACACACACACACACACACACACATACATTCACAGACATACATTCAGAGACACACACACACTGACAGTCACACACACACACTCACAGATACACACACATACACTCACAGACACACACACACACACTTACTGACACACACATACATTCACAGACACACACACATACTCAGACACACAAGCACACACCTACAGACACACACATACACTCACAGACACACACACATACACTCACAGACACACTCACACTTACAGACACACACATACATTCACAGACACACACACATACTCAGATACACACACACATTCACAGACACACACATACATTCACAGACACACACACATACTCAGATACACACACAGATTCACAGACACACACAGACTTACAGACACACACATACACTCACAGACACACACACACACTTACAGACACACACATACATTCACAGACACACACACATACTCACACACACACACACACAGACACTCACAAATTATTTTTTTTATTAAAAAATGTCCACCCAGCCTCCCTACCTGGAGAGCTGGCGTGGACTTGTCCCTGGGGTCCACTGGGTCGGGCGCCTGTCTCCATATCAGACGCGGCAAGGGAGCTGTGTCCTCTCTGATCCCTCTCGTCGCGCGGGCTTTCTGCTGTAACTGGGAGCCGGAATATGACGTCATATTACGGCTCTCGGCATCAGCAAACGACGCATGGCGAGAGGGAGCAGAGAGGACACAGCTCCCTCGCCGCGTCTGATATGGAGACAGGCGCCGGGGGGTCCATCACCTCTTGGCCCCTCCTCATGACAGGGGAACACTGGTGGAGGAGGAGGGCATTTGGGGGCGGCAGGGTGCCTGCAGGACTCACAGGCGTGCCGCGGGGACACCCCCTGTGCACACCTATGTTTTACATATACACACACAGACTCACACTCAATGGTCCACACAATCACAGTCAGTGACCAATGCACACATAAATTCACTGATTCACGCAGAGTGACACCCACACACACTGACTCAAGCAGGCATACACTGACTTATGTAGACTGACATACACACACACACGCTGGCTCAAGAATACACACATACACACTGAACCATTCAAACACACACACACATACACATTAACCCATGATGACACGCACATACAGAGACCAAAGCAGACACACACTGACCCAAGCAGACACACACACACTGATCCAGACACACACACACTGATCCAAACTCAAGCAGACACACATACTGATCCATGCACACAAACACAGACCCAAGCAGATACACACACTGACTCACGCACACTGGCTCAAGCAGACACACACACACATACTGACCCAAGCACACACAAACATACTGACTGAAAAAGGCTGTCACACACCATGAAGTCCCCCACTTGCCTTCATTTCATGTTTGCTCTCTCTCTGGGTCCCAGTCCAGGCCTAGCTGCCTTCACGCTATCTTAGCTCCACTCTTGCGATCCTCCCGCTCACTTGACCCTGAGTACAGGGGAAGGGGCAGGAGCGATCGTGCGATGAGCCCGTTAGCTGCCAGGATATGAGGTATGTAGGGGGAGCGGCTCTCAGTGCTCTTTGCATGCTGAAGTCGATGGCACCGGGCGCTAGTTTGCTTCCTAGGTGGCCGCCTAATCGGCCTATAGGACGTGCAGGCCCTGTGAAGGTATCTAGTAGATCTCAAAAGACATCGTCAGGGTGTGGACTAACATCTAAGGAATCAATACGAGAGTGTGTCTTTTTTTATTGTAAACTTTTTCAGGGCCCTGTATTGCATGGAGGGACAAAGTCCTCCATCCTTTTTTGCCCCTAAAATTATACCTGCCACTACTGGAGATATACAAGATTAAATAAATCCCTTGTTTTTTTCCCCAATAAATTCTTTTAAATGCTGGAGCTCAGGTTCAGCCAAAGGATATACACAACCATAAGGCATTGGAGCCCCATGTAATAGCTTAACTGGGCAATTATATGGTTTTCTGTTTGGTAGTTCTTCTTCTCAAACACATCATTAAAGTCGTGACACTTTATAGGTAATGTGACATTGGTATCAGAAGCTAGGGAAAGAATTGGTGCAGGGTGAATGGGTAGGCAGGTATGGCGGCAATAGATATAGGAGAAAGTCACACTCCAAGTAGCCCAGTTGATCACAGGATTGTGTGTATGGAGCCAAGCGAGACCCACAGTGTTATTATGAATGGCCCCCTACTGAATGGGGCCAAACCATCCTGTGCTGTACACAGGGACATTTAGAAAGCAAAATCTAAAGTTTACAGTATTCAGATATCCCATACTAACAGGATATATAGATACAGATTGAGCTGGAGACAAATTGGATTGTAAATCTTTATTTGGTCATGTGCTCTTATATGGAAATGGTTCTATCAGCAAGACTAATTGTGTCTAAGAATTACTGGTGCATTCTTCTAAAGAAGTAGAGTATATCTCCACAGCAAAAGCATGCAAGGAAGCACCATGGCTTAAAAGACCACTATAGGCACCCAGACCACTTCAGCTTAATGAAGTGGTCTGGGTGCCAGGTCCAGCTAGGGTTAACCCTTTTTTTTTTATAAACATAGCAGTTTCAGAGAAACTGCTATGTTTATGTTAGGGTTAATCCAGCCTCTAGTGGCTGTCTCATTGACAGCCGCTAGAGGCGTTTCTCACTGTGAAAATTACAGTGAGAAGACGCCAGTGTCCATAGGAAAGCATTGAGACCTGTGCCAGAATTGATTCATTTAGATTCAGTAGTGCTTAACACCAGAGATGACAGCTGACATTTTGAAATATGCTTGAAGATAAATTTAGAGGGGGGGAGTGGGGGAGGATTGTTAGTAATAGTCACTGGTGCTTGATCTGTATGTGTTGGAAACTTATGTGTTGGAGACTCTATAGTTTCAATGGTGCTGGAGAGATTTTGTTGTACAGATCTTCATAAGTGTACTCTGCCCTGACTTCATGCACATATTTATTTACAAGATGTGCTGGTGTTAAGTGATAATCATACTCTGAGCCCTTTTACTGATACTTTTATACTCCTGTTTTTATTTTTTCATGTTTTTTTAATCATAACAAATGCCATTGCTTTTGAAAGACTAGAGTAAACTAATAGTTGACTGGATTTGGCACAGATAGAAATAGGCCAACATTATTAGGGATGAGATTCATGAACAGACATGATCAGTTTCTAATACCAGTCGAAGTAGCAAGTCATCTTAAAGACTAATTGCGTGTGTGCCCCACCTGAGCATTATTTGCAGTAACATGTCTGGTTTACATGTTAATGCAAATTGTCCCAGAGATAACTCTCTGTAGTATTTTCTGTGTACAGATTTAGGGTGAAGAGCAAGGAACAAGCACTACTGGACAGTGCAATCAAGAAGCAAGCAACTAAACAACTAACATTAAAATGGTCCCTGACCATAGAGTTCCCCCATAAATAGTTTCAAATGTCATTTCTTAAAGTAATAGTATACCATATACCATGTCTTTTAAGCAGGAAACTCTTTAGGTGTTATTAGTACACTCTTGTTGCTCTCGTCCTGGAGCTTTCTCTACAGGTTGTAGCTTTACAGGAGCTTCCTCTCAGTCTAACCAACCTGTTCAGCTAAATCCCACCTTACGCGTTTCAGGGTTCAAAGGACCACTTCATCAGAGGCTATCCTGGCCTCCCGGGGTGGGATTAAATACCCCTTGGTTACCTTGGTAACTTAAGGGGATAGTACACCTTATTATAGAAAGTGCTATTGCTAAGTGCTATACATACAAGCTAGAATCAGCAACATGAAGGTATCAAAACTATCCAAACATTTTATTGAAAATTCTACGATCCACATAATACAAAATTGTGCACCTGCAAAAATGAAAAATCACAATAAAAATTATAATAAAAAGTTATTGTAATAAAAAAAATAGTAAATAATGGATAAAAAGCTAATAATTTGTGGGGGAATATATATATATAATACTTACAGAAAAGTTAGAAAAAAAAGAAAGAAATTTATATGAGAATAAGTAAAAATTTTAAAAAATAGTACAAATAGTAAAAATAGGGCCAACGGACTTATATGGAAGAGATATACTGAAAAAGTATGTTAAAAAGCTTTATTGATAAAAATAAATAAATGAAGAATGGCCTGGACTTTGTTCAAGATGATAAAAATGGAAAAGGTGAATAAATCAAAAGATTTTCATAGAAAATAATTTCAGCCCTTTAGGTTTGAGGGTATCCACTTGGAAGATCCATTTGGCCTCTACTTTATCTAGTTCTTTTTCCAAGTCTTCTCCCTGCCAGTTGGTTGAGACTTGGTCAATTGCCAAGAATTTTTATCCTTTAGGATCTTGATTGTGAACTTCAGTAAAGTGTTTGGATAGATTAGACTATGAGTTTGCAATCCAATTGTAATATTTTGGATACGTTCCCAAATCCTCCTCTTCAGGGGTCTTTTAGTTCTCCCCACATATTGTTTGGAACAGGGGCACTCCAATAAGTATATGACCCCCATTGAATTGCTGGTTAGATGTGACTTGACCTTGAATCTTTCCTTCGTGCCTTTGTGTCTGAAATTTCTAATCTGCTGTTCCTGTTCTTCATTATTCTTACAGCCACAACACTTGCCACATCTAAAAAAAACTCTTGTGTCTGCATTTTGAAAAGACCTCTTCGTATTCCTAATAGTGGGTGCCAATAGGGTCTTCAAACTTTGGACCTTAGAGTAAATTATCTTTGGGCCATCATCTAGTATTCTTTCCAGAAGGGGATCACATTTCAATGTACTCCAGTGTTTTCTGAGAATTTTCTTGATATGGTGAAACTTATGGAAATACCTAGTGATGAAGGCTGAAGCTTTAACAGGATTCCTAGTATTAATAGCTAAGGTTGTTAGTTGGAATGAAGCTGTTAGAATCGACTCGCTTCTCAGAAGACTTTGTCTGAATTGTCACATCTTTTATGTATATATCAAGATCCAAAAATTTTAATCTTTTTCTTGACTGATTGTAAATCTTAAATTATATGGATTAAAATTTAAAAAATCCTTAAAAGTTTTTGTCTGAATTTTTTTGTTTCTGCTGTTCTTTCTGCCATTCGATGTTTCAATTATGCATGGTCTTGGACCAACAGAATATATCTTTGCAGGCTGCCAACCTCCTGATGTCTCCATACGCACTGAATTTTAAAAAAAAACAAATTATTTCTCCTTACTGTTTTGATTTATTTTAATATTTTGTAACTTTCCCCCCCCCCTCTCTTGTTGTTTCTATTCCCCTCCTTGTGGGTGCTGCTGCTGCTGAGCTAATTAGGGGGAGTGCCCCTTAATTTCCACCTGTGTGGGATTTGTATTGCAAATATAAACCCACTACTGACTCACAGAGCTTGCTCACTGGAGTTTGCTTGAAAGTAGGCTATTTAAAGTAGTCTCTTTTAAGTAGGAGTTAAAACAACAGGAGTTTGTTGGTGAACTGGTGGACTGTGGTTGGTATTAGTTAATACCAAGTGGAAAAGAAAAGCAGGTTTAAATTTTAGTATTTGTTTGGTTTTTTTTTTTTTCTCTCTTTTTGGGTTTTGTTTTGTTTGTATTTTGTGTTTTTTTTTTGTTTTTTGTTTTTTTACTTTTACCCTTTTTAAAAAAAACAAATTATTTCTCCTTACTGTTTTGATTTATTTTAATATTTTGTAACTTTTTTCCCCTTTTCATATATATATATTTTTTCTCTTTGGATATATTTAAACTTTGTTCCTTTTTTTTTCTTCTATATTTTCACCTTGCTGGTATTATTTAAAACATTTTCCCTCCTTTTTTTTTTTCCCCCTCTCTTGTTGTTTCTATTCCCCTCCTTGTGGGTGCTGCTGCTGCTGAGCTAATTAGGGGGAGTGCCCCTTAATTTCCACCTGTGTGGGATTTGTATTGCAAATATAAACCCACTACTGATTCACAGAGCTTGCTCACTGGAGTTTGCTTGAAAGTAGGCTCTTTCAAGTAGTCTCTTTTAAGTAGGAGTTAAAACAACAGGAGTTGAAACTACAAGGGAGTTTAAACCAAGAGGGTTAACATTTTTTTTTTTTTTTCTCACTTGTGTTTTTTGTTACTGGGGATGAGTGTTAGCAAGATTGCAAATTTAACTCAGTGCACATCATGCCGCATGTATGCATGCCTGGATGGTTCTGTCCAGGGTCCATACCTCTGTGGTGGGTGTGAGCGAGTGGCATTTCTGGAAGCTCAGATTAGAGATCTGGAGAGGCAAATTGTAACACTGAGGGAGATTGACAATCTTGAGAGGAGTCTGCTGTTCACTGAGCAGAGTTTAGTGGGGACAGGTAGTGGAGAGGGAGGAGATAAGACAGATGGGGAACAGGCACGTAGCTGGGTGACAGTGGGGAGAGGAAGCAGGGGGGGGAGGGAAGAGAAAAGGTTTAGCT